GCAATGGGATTTATCATAAATTAAATCCCATTGTACTCAATGGGATTAACTATGCCTGAAGGAGCTATGCAGGAAAGTAAGAACTATTAGCAGGACACACCCTAAATGTCTTCTATAGGGGATGGAAACCAGGGGTGAAATATAAAATGTGTTACTACCGGTTCTGTGGGCGTGGCTTTGTGGGGGGGGGTAATTTGACTTGGTGGGCGTGGCCAACTTTTTTTTTTTTAACTTTTCAAATCATTTTTTCTAATGCTTTGAAAAGCCTCTGATGATCCCAGCTGAGCCGCGCGATCATCAGAGGCTTTTTTAAAAAAACTTTTCAAAGCATTTTTTCTAATGCTTTGAAAAGCCTCTCTGCCGATCAGGCAACTCAGCTGGGATCGTCAGAGACTTTTCAAAGCATTTTTTTTTACCACCTCTTCGGCCAAGAGGTTGCAGAAAAAAATGCTTTGAAAAGCCTCTGACGATCCCAGCTGAGCCGCGCGATCATCAGAGGCTTTTTTTTTTTTTTTTACTTTTAAAAGCATTTTTTCGTCGGAAGAGGTTGTAGAAAAAATGCTTTTAAAAGTAAAAAAAAAAGCCTCTGATGATCGTGCGGCTCAGCTGGGCATGGGGGGGGGGCGCGCAGGGATTTTTGCTACCGGTTCTCCGAACCACTTGCCTGCCATCACTACCGGATCGAGTGATCCGGTCCGAACCGGGAGCATTTCAGCTCTGATGGAAACTATACAGCAGTCTAAACCGAATGCAAAATAAAATAGTACACTATAGCTTTTCCAAACTTTGGCAACTTTAAGACATGCGGACTTCAACTCCCAACTGGCTGAGGAATTCTGGGAGTTTGAAGCCCGCAAGTCTTAAAGTTGCCCACTTTGAACACTCTGGTATACAGGTAGTCCTTGACTTATGACCACAATTGAGCTGAAAATTTACGTTGTTCAGTAAGACATTTGTTAAGGGAGTTTTGCCCCATTTTACAACTATTCATGCCACAGTTGTTAAGTGAATCATTGCAGTTGTTGAGCTAGTCGCACGGTTGTTAAATGAATCTGGTTCCCCCCCCCCATTGGCGTTGTCGGTCAAAAGGTCACAAAAAAAGTGATCACATGACCCCGGGACACTCACTGCAACCGTCATAACTACGAGTCAGTTGCCAAGCATCTGAATTTTGATCACGTGACAGCGAGGAGGCTGCAACGGTCATAAGTGTGAAAAATGGTCGTAAGTCACTGTAAATTCTCAGCGCCATTGTAATTTTGAACGGTCACTAAACGAACTGTTGTAAATCGAGGACTACTTATAGTTCAGGGGATCTGACAGCTGGGGAAATGTCAGAGGTGAACGACGTATTTATTTACCCATTCGTTTATTAAATTTATATGCCACTTATTTCATTCTGAAAAATGGCTCTGGAAAGATGTTACTTCTATATTCCTTTCACCTTTTACTCCCCAAAAAAGGCCATTTTGGGAGTGGCACAATAACTCTGAATTGAACTATTTATGGTTGGTTAAGTCTCCCTTGCATATTTTCAGACTAAACAAGATTAACATTGTTCAAACTCAACCTGTAAACGTCTTTGTTGGATTTGCAATTGATCTGTTTAACCCCATTTCAGAAATTTATCAGTATTTAACAATAACAGAGTTGGAAGGGACCTTGGAGGTCATCTAGTCCAACCCCCTTCTTACGCAGGAGACCGGTACTAGGGATTCGAATTGCCAAACTGCCAAACTTTCTGATCGACAAGCTCAGTGTCTTTAGCCACTGAGCCACCTAGTTAGCAACTTAGTCTGGATGGGACGTTGTTAAATCTATGGCAGGAATAAAGCCATCACAGATATAGTCCTGGACTTATGACCACAACGCAGCCCCAAATTTACGTTGCTCAGCGAGAATGGCTGTTAAGTGAGTTTTGCCCCCTTTTACGACTTTCCTTGCCACAGCGGTTAAGCGAACCGCTGCGGTTGTTAAGATAGTCACACGGTTGTTAAGTGAATCTGGCTTTCCCCCTTGACATTGCTTGTCAGAAGGTAGCAAAAAGAGGATCGCAGGATCATTTGCAACGGTCGTAAGTACATAAATAGTGGCCAAAATTGTGGGAACCTTTTGGGAAAAGTGTATTTTCTAAAACTACCTAATAAGACCACTTTTCTTTGGAGTCGTACCATAAAATTATATATCAATGGAAAGATAATTTAATCAAGAATGTCATGCAATCACTTTGATGAAGGATTTGCTATTAGAATAGCAGTTACAGTATAAAGAAGAAAGGGGAAACACGTAGAATAAATGAGATATACAAAAATTATCACCATGGAAAAAACGAGATATGCAAAAATGATCCCCATGTCAGTTAATGCTTAGTTGGGTAACCTTTAGCACGAATGACGGCCTTACGACGTCTTCCCATGGAGTGAACCACGTCTTTTAGTTCTGCAGCTGTTCTAATGTGAAACCAAGATGGAATGATGGCTTCTATTAACTGGGTTTTATTGCTGGGTTGCTTCTGACTAACCAGTTTCTTTAGTGGGCTCCATAGATTTTCCATTGGGTTAAGGTCTGGGCTATTCCCAGGCCTTTCCAGCAGTGGAATATCATTATCTTGAAACTCCCCCCCCCAAAAAAAGTGGTGTTATTAGCCATCAAACCTCAAAAATGCACTTTTCCCAACAGGTTTCCACAATTTTGGCCACGAATGTATGAGTCAATTGCCAAGCATCTGAATTTTCATGTCATCCCTTTTGCAACCTCCTGACAAGCAATGTCAACGGGGAAGCCATTTTTCACTTAACAACTTAACCACCGTGTTAGTAATGTGGAAAAATGTGGGGAAATGGCACACTTAACTAAGAAAAATGTAAAAATGGGTCCATCCCAGCTGCTTTTCCCCAGGTTTAGTTAGAGGCTGCCAAGAGGGGAAATCATTCCACAGTTTCATCAGCACTTAAGTGCAACCTGATGGGTCCCTCAGATAAATTGAATAAAGTCCCATGAACTAAATTAATGTAGGTAAATGCGGGTCCAGCTGGATGATCACTGAAGGGCCCTCTCTATTCTTAGTTCTTTCAGAGTTCTCTGGCTTTTTAAGAATGTCAATTTATAACACTGCCATTAGTTCTTTTCTCTTACTACATATTGTAATTTCTAACTCATCTCTGTAACAATTCCTAAAAGGGCAGTAACTTGTGCTGCTAACAAACAAACAAATAAATAAACTGATTCCAGGAGTTTTTTGTTTTTTTTTTAATTTGATTTATATGCCGCCCTTCTCCGGAGACTCAGAGCGGTTTACAATGCGTTAAGCAATAGCCTTCATACTTTTCTATATATTTTATACAAAGTCAGCTTATTGCCCCCACAAACTGGGTCCTCAATTTACCCACCTTAGAAAGGATGGAAGGCTGAGTCAACCTTGAGCCTGGCGAGATTCGAACCTGCAGTAATTGCAGGCAGCTGTTCTTAATAACAGGGTGCTTTAGACCACTGTACTACCAAGGCTTTATATAAAACTCTATATAGTTTTGAATTCAGGAAGGGAAAGCTCTGCCTTTCCACAATCCTTAAAGGGAAAGGCTTCTTTTTTTTCCCCGACAGGAGTAAAAAATAAAATAAAAAATCACTCCTGATAGAAAGGAGGGGTGGCGTCTCCGCCTCTATCTATAAAAAGCAAGAATTCAGATAATTCTATGCAACATTAATTGAATCTGGACCTTGGAGTTTGAAATGGGAGGGACATGAAGGTCCCACCAAATGCTACTAACTAAACCCCTTCCCTCAATCCATCCTCCTTGTGTGTTACATTCACCAAACCGCTTCGTGTTTCGGCCCTGGCTGGATCGAATTATTTGCTCACAATTTGGGGTTTTGCAACAGGACCACGCCGACCACGGGAAAAGCCCACTTCTCCTGCCCGTCTTCCCCGCAGAATGATGGAAGAGCTGTCCTCTTCCACAGGCCCACGTGCCTTTTGCCCTTTGGCTCCTTTGAAGAGTCTTGTGGGAGACCCAGAAATCCTAAAGTCAACAGGCAGCCCGACTCCTCCCTGCTGGGTTGCCCCATAAAATCTGCAACTCTGCTCCTATAGCATGGTTAGGAGCACATTTCTTTCTTCCTTTGTCGCTCCCTCCCTGTTTTCCTTCCTTCATCCCTCCTTTTTCTTCTTTCTTCCTCCTTCTTCCCTCCATCCTCTTCCTCCCTTCCTTATGCCATCCCCTCCCTCCCTCCCTTCCTCTCCCTCCCTCCGTCCCTTCCATTTTTCCTTCCTTCCCCCTTTTTCCTTCCTTCCTTCCTTCCTCCCTCCATCTCCCCCTTCCTCTCTCTGTCCCTTCCATTTTTCCTTCCTTCCCTTTTTTCCTTCCTTCCTTCTTTCTCACCCTCCATCCCTTCCATTTTTCATTTCTTGCCCTTTCCTTCCCTTCCTTCCTTCCTCCCCTCTTTTCTCTGTCCCCCATCATCTCCCTCCCTCCCTCCCTTCTTCCTTCCACCTTCTCTCCCTTCCTCTCTGTGTCTTCCATTTTTCCTTCCTTCCTTCTCTCCCTCCCTCCGTTCCATTTTTCCTTCCTTCCCCTTTCCTTTCCTTCCTTCCCTCTTTTCTCTGTCCTCCATCATTTCCCTCCATCCCTCCCTCCCTCCTTCCTTCCTTCTTCCTTCCTGCCTTCTTCCTTCCTTCCTTCCTTCCTTTTTCCTTCCTTCCTTCCTCTTCCCTTCTCTCCCCTCCCCTCCCTTTCCCACTCTTCTTCCTCCCCTCCCTCTTCTTCCTCCCTCTCTTATATGATCCCCTTCCTTCCTCCCTCTCTCCTTTCTCACTATTTTACCTCTCTATTTTCCTTCCTTCCTCCTTCCTTCCTTCCTTCCTCCCTCCCTCCCTCCCTCCCTCCCTCCCTCTTCCTCAATCTTCTCTTCCTCCTCCTCCTCCTCCCCCTCTCACCCCATAATCCTCAACTGGGACAGTCCCCATGTAGAATTATCTAGGCATCTTCCAAAGGTTCCACCACATACAGGTTGTTAGCAAACTTTTTAAAAGCCACAAGGAAGCCGATAAGGCAGAGTTTCTCAACCTTGGCTGCTTTAAGATCTTGCCAGCTGGGGAATTCTGGGAGTTGAAGTCCAGAGATCTAAAAGCACCTCAGGCTGAAAAAAAAAGTGCAGGTACCTTTGCTAGAAAGAGAGATGGACAAAGCTAGGGGGAAAAAAAAACCTGCCAGAAACTCTGGTTTTGGGTTTTTTTTTTTTTAGTTTTTAAAAAGTGGCTGAGATGGGACATAGAGGTCTAATCCCTGGGAATGACAGCTCAAATAAAGCCCTGAATTCCTTGAGAGTCAACATCTGGCTTTGCCCTTCAACAGTTCTGCAGCTGGGGTGTTGACGCTGCCAAAGACTGGTGAAATTCCCACTGTCCGCGCCAGCTGCTTGCGTTCCCCCAGGCTCGACTTTTATACCAGTGTTTCCCATGCACAGTTTGATCTCTAACCACTGCTCCTTTCTCCCTTTCTCTAGAAGCCATGAAATTTTCCCTCTTACTCTTCTTCTGGGCTGTTCTAAACGGTGGCATCTCGACGTATCGGCCCATCGCGCTTGCGCCCTGCGAAATGGTAAGGAAAACAATTAACAAGGAAAACTTGGAAAAACAAAAAACAAGGAAAATCCATTCGTAGGAGGCAGTCCTCGACGTACGACCACAAATTGTGCCCAAAATGTCTGTCGTTAAGCGAGACGGTCGTTAAGTGTTGAGCTTTGGCCCGTTTTACCACCTTTTTTTTTTTTGCCAACATTGTCAATTTGTTTAATTTGGCCGGTGAATTTCATCCATCGTCTGGATTCATGCCTTACGCTGAATTATAAGATAGCCAATTTAGCTGCGTTGCCCAACATCCATGCTGTAAAACAAGGCACGGGGGGGCTACAACCGAGTTGTATAAACAGAATCAAGGTCACGTGAAGTGTTAGTGCCGCTTTATAATTATAATTATTATTGTTTATTGGTTCGATTTATATGCCGCCCTTCGCCGGAGACTCAGGGCGGCTTACAATGCATTAAGCAATAGCCTTCATACTTTTGTATATTTATACAAAGTCAGCTTATTGCCCCTACAAACTGGGTCCTCAATTTACCTACCTTAGAAAGGATGGAAGGCTGAGTCAACCTTTAGCCTGGTGAGATTCGATCCTACTTTAATTGCAGACAGCAGATGTTAATAACAGTGCTTTAGTCCACTGTACTACAGGCTCTCCTATTCTATTCTATTCTATTCTATTCTATTCTATTCTATTCTATTCTATTCTATTCTATTCTATTCTATTCTATTCTATTCTATTCATCTTCTCATCGTTCCCACCACCCATCTCCTTCCACTTATGATTGTATGACTGTAACTTTGTTCCTTGTATCCTTATGATTTATATCGATATTCTTTCCTGATTGCTTATTTGTACCCTATGACTATCATTAAGTGTTGTACCTTATGATTCTTGATGAATGTATTTTTTCTTTTTATGTACACTGAGAGCATATGCACCATAGACAAATTCCTTGTGTGTCCCATAACACTTGGCCAATAAAGAATTCTATCTATCTATCTATCTATCTATCTATCTATCTATCTATCTATCTATCTATCTATCTATCTATCTATCTATCTATCTATCTATCTCTATCTATCTATCTATCTATCTATCTATCTATCTCTATCTATCTATCTATCTATCTATCTATCTCTATCTATCTATCTATCTATCTATCTCTATCTATCTCTATCTATCTCTATCTATCTATCTATCTATCTATCTATCTATCTCTCTCTCTCTCTCTATCTATCTATCTCTCTCTCTCTCTCTCTCTCTCTCTCTCTCTCTCTCTATCTATCTATCTATCTATCTATCTATCTATGACCATCATTAAGTGTTGTACCTTATGATTCTTGATGACTGTCTCTTTTCTTTTATGTACACTGAGAGCTTATGCACCAAAGACAAATTCCTTGTGTGTCCAATCACAGTTGGCCAATAAAGAATCCCATCCTATTCTATCCTATCCCTATTTCTATTCTATTCTATTCTGCATTTTTTCTCGTATTCTATTCTATTCTATTCTATTCTATTCTATTCTATTCTATTCTATTCTATTCTATTCTATTCTATTCTATTCTATTCTATTCTATTCCTATTCCTATTCCTATTCCTATTCCTATTCCTATTCCTATTTCTATTTCTATTCTTACTAACCAGGTTTAGCAGATGGTATGAAAGCATCTGCAAAGCTTGTTCACCGAACTGGTTAAGCGAACGCCAGCCAAACAGTGACTGAAGGCTCTCTGCTAAATTACAGCTGATGCAATATTTGGATTAAAGCCTTCGGCTTTTCTGCTCTGAGAATCCAGAATCAACAGTTCTTGTTTCCTATCTTTAGCAACCAGAGCAAGACTCCACCGTCCGACATCACTGTAATGATGCAATCCAGGAAAAGCGAGATCACAGGATCTGTTCTTTTGGTCTTATGCTGTCCAGATGAGGGGCCAAGGAGTGTTTTTCTACCCTTGCCAATGAGCAGGGGAAGATGGGAGTTGTGGGTCTGACATCTGGAGGTCCATGGGACTAGAGCAGTGGTGGGATTCAATTTTTTTTTTACTATCGGTTCTATGGGTGTGGCTTGGTGGACGTGGCAGGAAGGATACTGTAAAATCTCTATTCCCACCCCACTCCAGGGGAAGGATACTGCAAAATCTCCATTCCCACCAGAGGTGGGTTTCGGCAGGTTCTGACCAGTTCTGGAGAACCGGTAGCGGAAATTTTGAGTAGTTCGGAGAACCGGTAGTAAAAATTCTGACTGGCCCTGCCCCCAACTATTCTCTGCCTCCCAAATCCCAGCTGATTGGGAGGAAATGGGGATTTTACACTATCCTTCCCCTGGAGTGGGGAGGGAATGGGGATTTTGCAGTATCCTTCCCCTGGAGTGGGGTGGGAATGGAGATTTTGCAGTATCCTTCCCCTGGAGTGGGGAGGGAATGGGGATTTTGCAGTATCCTTCCCCTGGACTGGGGTGGGAATGGAGATTTTGCAGTATCCTTCCGCTGGAGTGGGGTGGGAATGGAGATTTTGCAGTATCCTTCCCCTGGAGTGGGGTGGGAATGGAAATTTTGCAGTATCCTTCCCCTGGAGTGGGGTGGGAATGGAGATTTTGCAGTATCCTTCCCCTGGAGTGGGGTGGGAATGGAGATTTTACACTATCCTACCCCATGCCACGCCCACCAAGCCACACCCACAGAACTGGTAGTAAAAAAATTTGAAACCCACCACTGCCTTGGAGGTCTTCAAGCAGGAGAACCTATATCATTCTGGATAGATGGGGAGAATGGACAGACAGACAGATAGTTAGAAAGGTAGATGAGAGAGAGAGAGAGAGAGAGAGAGAGAGAGAGAGAGAGAGAGAGACGATGGATAGATGATAGATCAACAGAGAGACAGACAGACAGACAGATGATGGATAGATGGTAGACAGATAAACAGATAACAGATGATAGATGATAGATAGATAGAAAGATAGTTGATAGAGATGATGGATGAGTAATAGTTAGATGATAGATTGAGAGAAAGAGAAAGAATGGATGAGAAAGAATGGGACAGAGAGAGAGAATGGGGGAGAGAAAGGATGAGAGAGAATGGGAGACAGAGAGAGAATGAGAGAGAGAGAGAAAGGATGAGAGAGAGAAAAGATGAAAGAGAGAATGAGACAGAGAGAGAATGAGACAGAGAGAGAATGGGAGACAGAGAGAATGAGAGAGAGAGAAAGGATGAGAGACAGAATAGGACAGAGGGAGTGAGAAAGGATGAGAGAAAGCATGAGAGAGAGAATGGGACAGAGAGAGAGAAAAGATGAAAGAGAGAGAATGGGAAACAGAGAATGGGACAGAACGAGAAAATGAGAGAGAGAAAGGATGAGAGAGAGAAAGGATGAGAGAGAGAATGGGACAGAGAGAGAGAGAGAAAAGATGAAAGAGAGAGAATGGCACACAGGGAGCGAAAGAGAGAAAGAGAGCGAATGGGACAGAGAGAATGGGACAGAACGAGAGAACGAGAGAATGAGAGAGAAAGGATGAGAGAGAGAACGGGAGAGAGAGAATGGGAGATTGGTTCTTGGTTCTTGTTCTCCTCTAAAAACCGTCTGCATGGCCAACCTTTGACCTGAGATTCCCATGAGTGATGCACTCGGTGGTTTCCTGGAAAGTTAGAAGAGGATATCACTAACACGCTTCCATTTAAAAAGGCATTTTTTTTAAAAAAAAATAAAAATCCAGGGCTTGACATCGTTTCAGTGGGGCAGCTCCTGCCGAGCTGCAGGCCCGGTGAACACGAGGCATCCTGTTTTCTTACGGCATTCCTTCTGGGCCCCTCTGGGAATGCCCTTAACAGACTGGGGCCGCTCCACCAAGGAGCTATATCTGTCTCCAAGAACAAAAGCCAAAGAGGAAGGGAAGTCTGGACAAACTTAGGAGAAGTTCAGAAAGAGCCTCCGGAGTAGGAGGACAATCCGGTGCCAGACAGGAAATATGGGTAGTCCTCAACTTACGACCCCAATTTTTTATTTATTTATTTATTTATATGCCGCCCTTCTCCGGAGACTCAGGGTGGCTTACAATGCGCTAAGCAATAGCCTTCATTCTTTTGTATATTTTATACAAAGTCAGCTTATTGCCCCCACAAACTGGGTCCTCATTTCACCCACCTTAGAAAGGATGGAAGGCTGAGTCGACCTTGAGCCTTGGCGAGATTCGAACCTGCAGTAATTGCAGGCAGCTGGTCTTAATAACCAGTTTAATAACAGGGTGCTTTAGACCACTGTACTACTAAGGCTCTTGGGACTAGTCGCTTTGTACGGTGGGTTGCTAAGTGAATCGCACCCAACCTTATTTTGACCAGGGTTGTTAAGCAAATCACTGCGGTTGTTAAGTGAACCACACAGTCGTTAAATGAATCCAGTTTGCCCTCATTGGCCTGGCTTGTTGGAAACCGGCTGAAGGTTGCAAATGACCATCACATAACCCTGCTTGCAAATACATCCCACTTATGAATGTATGACTGTAACCTTGTTGCTGGTATCTTTAAGATTTATATTTATATTTATATTCCTAGTATGATTCGATTGCTTATTTAAATTTTGTCTATCTTTGTGCTTTTAATCAGGCTGTACACCGCCCTGAGGCCTTAAGGAGAAGGGCGGTATAGAAATAAAATAAATAAATAAATAAACAATAAAAACTAAAATTCCCATTAAAACCCCAGTGGAACTGCTTGCCACCAGAAGTTGTGAGTGCTCCAACACTGGAAGTTTTAAAAAGAGACTGGGCTTGAGCATGGGGTTGGACTAGAAGACCTCCAAGGTCCCTTCCAACTCTGTTATCCTGTTAATACAGGAAGATCAATTAGCAAAATACCCATTTTAGACACACCGCACCATGAGTTCAGGCCTCGCTGAGAAATTTTTTTTAGTGTATACAGAATTGATCTGTGAATGTTCTTCTCCGGTGTGAATATCATCACAATTTTTATTCCCCCCTCTCTCTTCTTTCCTACAGAGAAACCTGGAGGCCTTTTGTCAGAACGTGGATCTTCACCAGGTGCCTCCAGAGCTTCACCCCGACGTGTCTAAAATTGACGCCTCCGGAAATAAGATTCGAAATGTCACCGAGAGGCCCCTGACCTTCTACGCTTCCCTCCGTCACTTGGACTTAAGTTCCAACCTGATCGGATTTGTCAAACCTGGGATTTTTGCGGAGATGAAGAACCTGCTGGACATCAACTTGGCCAACAACCAGCTCTATCTGTTGGCGCAGGAAGATCTGTGGGTTGGGTTACTACCCCAAGTCAGGAGACTAGACCTGTCTCGCAACAGTCTCTACAGCGGGATGGCAGAACATTTCATTCACCAGGCGCCTTCGTTGCGCTATCTTTCCTTGGCGGAAAACAGCATCATACACATCTCCCAGAGCATGTTCCAAGGGTCTCCAGAGCTGGTGGAAGTCAACCTGCACAACAACATGATTATGGAGATAGAAGAAGGCGCGTTTGAGAGCATGATGCATCTCACCAAGCTGAATCTCTCCATGAACTCCCTCACTTGCATCGTTGAGTTCAACCTCAGGCAGTTGGAAGTTCTCGACCTCAGTCGGAACAGCATCGAGTCCTTCCACTCCACCCAGTCGGTGGAGGACTTCAACTTGATCTGGCTTGACCTGAGTGAGAACAAGCTCCTTCGCTTCCCCGTTCTCCCTCAAGGAAACAAGCTGGCTTACTTGAACCTAACCAATAACATCATGCAATTTGTTATGGTGGACTCCCATAGCGACGTAAACTACCAGTGGGAAGATGGGCCTCAATATCCCAACAATTCCCGTCCTCCCTACTTACCTGCCCTGTTGTCCTTGGACCTCAGTTACAATGAGATCCAATCCATCCCAAGCCAATTCTTTGACTCCATGTTGTCCCTCCAATTCCTTAATTTAAGCAAAAATTGCCTGCAGACTTTTGGGACAAGCAATGAGTTGGCCTTGTTGTCCGTCCTTGACCTTAGCTGCAACTCTTTGAAGAACCTTAAGTTGGAGTCCAACACCTTGAGAGGTTTGCGGGAGTTCCACCTCCAAGATAACCATCTTCAAGAGTTGCGTCCAGATATCTTTCAAGGTCTCCCATATCTCCAGTGGCTTGACCTGAGGAACAACAAAGTCCACCTCTGTGACTCGCATTCAGGATCAAGAAGGCAACGATTGTCTCCTAATGTTCCTCACAGTTGTGTCTCGTTTGTGCGAGTTCCCAAACTTCAATATTTGTATCTTTCGGCCAATCGTTTGAAGAACCTACCCATGTACAACTTCTTCGGGACTAAGCTTAGGGTACTGGATGTCTCCATGAACTGGGGACTTCAGATAGAAGCCAAATCATTGGTAGGCTTGGAATTCTCGCTGGAATATCTGGATTTACACGGGAATGGCCTGACCACTCTGAACGTGGATTTTTCTCTTTTTCCTCACCTCAGGTATCTCAATCTATCGGACAATCAGCTTAGCTGGTTGCCTGCTTGGTCAGAAGACTGTTGTGTCCTTGAAGTCTTAGATCTTCACAACAACAGCTTCAACAGCTTGAAAAATAGCCAGATCCCAACTCTGGAAAAAAACCTACGGAATTTGTACCTGGTAGGGAACCCGCTGAGTTGTTGTGGAAACATCTGGCTCTCTCAAATGATCCATAAAGCCGTGGTGGAGATCCCTGATCTAGACTTGGTCAAGTGTCAGTTTGCCCGGAGTTTGGGATTTGAGGAAGAAGAGGTCCACATGAGCCACGTCAGGCCAGAAGACTGCGAGAGAGAGGACCTCAAGAACATGAGTGTTTTGATATTTTTGGCGATCCTGCTGGTTCTCTCGCTGATCGTCATCGGAGTGGGTCTCGTTTGTTGTTATCGGAGACACTTATTCGGGCGCCATTACAAGGTGTAGACCAAGAGAGATCTCGCACAGTTGCATTTCCCTCTCTTGGACCCTGGAGCCAAAGTCCAGGTGATTCGATTCCACCAGGGAGTTTTCAAAACACTGTGAAAGTTCGGATGATAAGATGGTGACTCATTCTTACGCCCAAGTCGTCGTTCAGGGAGAACATTGGCGAAGATACGCTCTTATGGATTCAGGGAGGACATGGGGCCATGGTACTCCCTTATGGATCTAGAACTGGGCTTCCCAACCTTGGCAACATAAAGAAGAACTTGGAGGTTCTTCTTAAAGAATTTAAGAATTACATTCTTCAAAGAATTTCATAAATTCTTAAAAGAATTTAAGAAGAAATCTGTAAGAAGAGATTGGACAGCCATTTGCCTGAAAAATGGTATAGGCTTTCCTGCTTCAGCAGAGGGTTGGACTAGAAGACCTCGAAGGTCCCTTGCAACTCTGTTATCCTGCTCCTTTGCATATATCTAGTGTAACGAAGAGAAGAACTAAGGTGACATGATAGCAGTCTTCCAATATTTGAGGGGCTGTCACAGAGAAGAGGGGGCCCCCATCTATTCTCCAAAGCCCCTGAGGGCAGGACAGGAAGTAAAATGGAAGATTATCAAAGAGAGAAGCAACCTGGAACTAAGGAGGAATTTCCTGACAGTGACAACAATTAACCAGTGGAACAGCTTGCCACCAGAAATTGTGGATGCTCCATTAGTGGAAGCTTTTAAGAAGAGATTGGACAACCATTTGCCTGAAACAGTATAGGGCCGACCTTTTTGCTGTCACGTGCCAAAAGCGGGGAGAGTGCGGAGGGGTCGCGCGCGTGTGTGCCCACACCCACAATTCAATGCGCCCCACCTTCCGTGCATTCGTGCACGACCCCCCTGTGCTCCGCCTGCTTTTGGCACGGTGGGCCCTCTCGAGGCTGCAGAGCCTTTCTAGAAGCCTGGGGAGGACTAAAACAGCCTTCCCCACCCTCCCGGAGGCCCTCCAGAGGGCAGAAATGGCCAGTTTCCAAAACAGAAAATGATGGATTTTTTTGCCCTCCCCAGGCTCCAGAGCCTTTCTAGGAGCCTGGGGAGGGAAAAAACGGCCTTCCCCAAGGCCTGAAAATCAGCTGGCCAGTGCGCGCATACATGCTGGAGCTGAGCTAAGGCAATGCTCGCGTGCCCACAGATATGGCTCCGTGTGCCACCTGTGGCACGCGTGCCATAGGTTCGTCATCCCAGGTATAGGGCCTTCTGCTTGAGCAGGGGGTTGGACTAGAAGACCTCCAAGGTCCCTTCCGACTCTGTTATTCTGTTAAAATGGGTGGACTTCAACTCCCAGAATTCTCTAGCCAGTTGTGCATGACAGAATGAGAAAATTATGTTATATTTTGTTAAAAAAGAATTTTCTGGATCTATTTTGTTCGGAGAATAGACGATAAATGAAGAAACCCATCGCTCGCCTAGGGTCATCCTAGGATTGTAAGGGGGCAGTCAAAAATGCCAAAATGGCGGCTGCCACCCAACAACGAAAGCCTGACCACTTTTTATATTGTGTGCGTGTGGCTGTGGCTACCGTCGACCGCTTCCTTCACACACTCTTCTGGATTTGTGGAGTTTATTCAATTGTGTTCTTTGCTGGAGTCAGGGGCTCAATCACAGGGGCGCCAGAGGTCAAAAGAGTCAAGATGGTGGCCACACTGAGGTGATTTCAGCCCTCACTGAAATCACTGAGGTGATTTCAGCCCTGCCTGCTTTTTACGCATTGCACGGGAAAGCAGGTGGAGGTCCGATGGCACCCTTGCGGCCGCCATCTTGACTTTTTTGACCTCGCTGTGTGCAGACACCCCTTGCTCAGTAAGCAGGATGGTCTGAGGCAATACAAATGATGGACTTCACCAGTATTGTTGTTATATTATGTTATATTTGCACTGTCTGCTTTTGTTGGCAAGCATGAAGAAATGGTTAAATCCTTTAAAGCAGGGGTCTCCAACCTTGGCAACTTTAAGCCTGGCGGACTTCAACTCCCAGAATTCCCCAGCCAGTTGGCTGGGGAATTCTGGGAGTTGAAGTCCGCCTGGCTTAAAGTTGCCAAGGTTGGAGACCCCTGCTTTAAAACAAGCAAAATACTATAATACTATAGTATTATATTATAATATTATAGTACTATAAAATACTATAAAATTACACTCAGATACTGTATTTTCATGTGTTTTTTTTGCAATGATATAAAAAGCAGGGGTTTTATTGGTGGGAGGGGGATTTATTCCTCCTGCCTGTTTTCTCCGAGATCTCTTAGTGGTCTCCCGTTCATCTCCTCATCCTCTTTTGCATGGAAAAAAAAAACAGATTCCAAACCAGCAAAGTACCCTAAGTATTGATAAGTTTATAATAAGTTTATATAACATTTATAAGTACCACAAAATCACACTCAACTTCTTTTTCATTGGGATTTGTTTGCTTGCTTGTTTTGCAATGATATGTGAAGTATTTCCTTTCATTTTTGTTTTTTTTTTTCTCCAAGGGGGAATTTCTCCCTCCTGCCTATTTTTCTCTGAGATCTCCTAGTGGTCTCCTCTCCAAGTCCAAACCAGCCTGACTTTTGTATTTTAATTTCCGAGATCAGCCGGAATGGTCTCAGCTCTGTCACTTCTTATAAATTAAGGTTCCATATTTGAGTTGTGGGGGCCTTCCCCAGATGTGTGGGGCCCAGAGGTGAAAATCCAGCAGGTTCTGACAGGTTTTGGTAGCGGAAATTTTGAGCAGTTCAGAGAACCGGCAAATACCACCTCTGGCTGGCCCCAGAATGCGGTGGGAATGGAGATTTTGCAATATCCTTCTCCCTGGAGTGGGGTGGGAATGGGGATTTTGCAGTATCCTTCCCTTGGAGTGGAGTGGGAATGGGGATTTTGCAGTATCCTTCCCTTGGAGTGGGGTGGGAATGGATATTTTGCTGTATCCTTCCCTTGGAGTGGGGTGGGAATGGATATTTTGCAATATCCTTCCCCTGGAGTGGGGTGGGAATGGATATTTTGCAGTATCCTTCCCTTGGAGTGGGGTGGGAACGGAGATTTTGCTGTATCCTTCCCTTGGAGTGGGGAGGGAATGGGGATTTTGCAGTATCCTTCCCTTGGAGTGGGAAGGGAATGGGGATTTTGCAGTATCCTTCCCTTGGAGTGAGGTGGGAATGGGGATTTTGCAGTATCCTTCCCCTGCCATGCCCACCAAGCCACCAAGCCACGCCCACAGAACCGATAGTAAAAAAATTTGAATTTTACCACTGGTGGAGTGTGGAACAATTTCCCTGGTTTAAAAAAAATAAAAAATATAGAGTTTTGTCTGGCCATGGGTGCAATTTAACTGGATAGAAGGATCAAACTACCTCTCTCCTTTTATGTAATCCTCCCTTCCCTGCAACAGGAAAGCAATTGTGGCTGGCAGGAAAATGGGAGCCAATGGTTGTGCATATTAAACCGGCATCGTAGGTGCGTCTGTGTATGTGCGAAATTGTGTTTTACTGGCTGTGTTCACAGAAAACGCCTGAAAATCCAGAGTCCCACGACATGCTAAAGTTAACATTTGTTTCAATGGGTCACAAAAAGCCAGAACCTGGTTTAATTCAGGAACCAGGTCAGGCATATTGTGTGAACAGAGCCAATATGAATGTGTGAATGGAGGTGTCCACTAAATATGGTTTAAAAAAAAAAATTAAGAAGGCTTTAAGGTGCATTGTAAGCTCCACCTGTATGTGGGATGCGCTGCTGTGGCCTCCATCTTGACTTTTTTGCCCAGTGTTGTCCTTCATCCTTGTCTGCTGGATTGCCAGTGTGGGGCAGGAGTTGGGCAAAGGGAACCAGATGAATGTGGAAGATCCTGGTTTGATTGACCGATGCTAAATCCCAAACTGGATTAATACAATACTATTGTTCATGAAAATGTTTTGTTTAAACAAATAAACTATATTATGCCATGCTGGGATGATCTCTGTTATTCTGTTGTGTAACACTCACTCTCTCTCTCTCTCTCTCTCTTTTTTTTTCTTTCCTCCTGTCCTTCCTTCCTTCCTTCCCTTCTCTTCCCTTCCCTTCCTTCTTCTTCCTCTTCTCCTTCTTCCTCCTTCTGCTTCTCCTTTCCTCCTCCTCTTCTTCCTTTTCTCCTCCTCCTCCCCCTTCCTTCCCTTCTCTTCCCTTCCTTCCTCTTCTTCTTCTTCCTCCTCTTCTTCCTCTTCCCCTTTTTCCTCCTCCTGCTTTTCCTTCCATCCTCCTCTTCTTCTTCCTTTTCTCCTTCTCCTCCTCCCCTTCCTTCCTTCTACTTCTACTTCTACTTCTACTTCTTCTTCTTCCTCCTCTTCTTCCTCTTCTTCCTCTTCTCCTTCTTCCTCCTTCTGCTTCTCCTTTCCTCCTCCTCTTCTTCCTTTTCTCCTCCTCCTCCCCCCTTCCTTCCCTTCTCTTCCCTTCCTTCCTCTTCTTCTTCTTCCTCCTCTTCCCCTTTTTCCTCCTCCTGCTTCTCCTTCTGTCCTCCTCTTCTTCTTCCTTTTCTCCTTCTCCTCCTCCCCTTCCTTCCTTCCTTCCTTCTACTTCTACTTCTACTTCTACTTCTTCTTCCTCTTCCTCCTCTTCTTCCTCTTCTCCTTCTTCCTCCTTCTGCTTCTCCTTTCCTCCTCTTCTTCTTCCTTTTCTCCTCCTCCCCCCTTCCTTCCCTTCTCTTCCCTTCCTTCCTCTTCTTCTTCTTCTTCTTCCTCCTCTTCTTCCTCTTCCCCTTTTTCCTCCTCCTGCTTCTCCTTCCGTCCTCCTCTTCTTCTTCCTTTTCTCCTTCTCCTCCTCCCCTTTCTTCCTTTCTTCCTTCCTTCTACTTCTACTTCTACTTCTACTTCTTCTCCTCTTCCTCTTCCTCCCTTCCTCTTTCTTCTTCATCATCACCATCATATTTCCCACCTTTGTTTGGTCAACTTGAGGTGCCCTATATATACCTGATGTTCCCATCACCCACTCTGAGACTTGAAGTCCAAACACGTTGGCGAGGGAATTCTGGGAGTTGAAGTCCACACATCTCAAAGGTCCCCTTTTGTAAAGGGGGGGGGAATCCCACAACAGCACTCAACCATTGGAGGAATGGGACCTGGGAGGAGACAAATGCCAACAAGCAACACAGTCCTACCTTGCAGGACTGTTGTAGGAGGCCTGCAAAGGGGATCGAGAACCTTTGTGGCATCTGCAACTCACCAGCCTCATTTAAATCATTTTTGTCCAGTGCAGATTAAAATCCCATCTGGGTTT